CTCACTCACCGGAGAGAATTTCCAGAATCCGGAAAGGCTAAAATTTAGTGTAGCAATTATATCCCATTGCACTCCTTTTGCCTCTTAGTCATGCACTGACCCTTGTTGATTTCACATAAAAAAAATCAGCATAATCACTGACAAAGAAAGGCCCAGAGATTTAGAACAGCATCAATACATGCCAGAAATAGGCGGCAATGTTTCTTTTCCGGGACTGAATAAGAATGCTAATACAATGCCTGATATGTCTTGGTACTTTTGATAAAAATCTAAATATTTCCCTTTCTTTCCCTAAACAAAATGCAAAACCAATTAGTGAAAAATATGGAATATTAACCAATGTGGCTGTTTGGCTGCTCTTATGTCTGAACTCCGTTTACAACTGTATTCCTTGACTAAATGAATTCCTTCACTACCTTTATTTTCAAAGCTACAATCAGAGTAAGTGTTGTTCTACAAAGAATAGCAACTAAGCTAAATCAACCACCATACCTTAAAAGATTAAAACTGGATGTACAATTACAGAACATTACCAAGCAGCAAGAAATAAGACAACATTTATGTAACCCCGAACACTTAGATCACAGCAAAGCAGAAAAATATAACCACAATTAAATGACGGGAGGAGAGCATAAATGGGAAAACATTATGCTGTTTATAATTACCAATGTTTTTGTAGCAGAAAACACTGCTGTAAATACCACAATTAGTAATTTCAATAGAGCAAATAACCTGCACTAGATTTTACTGCTGCAAAAGCTGAAACATTGTTTTTGGTTTTTTATTATTGATAAGTTTTCATTCAGTAGGTTTCTGTATGTCAGCAGGATAACTAATTTTTTCCAAGTTCAAAGTATCACCTTTGGGCCCAATCCTGTCACTCTTACTTTGACAAAGCTCACAATGAAGTCAACAGTTTTGCTTGAGTTAGGCTAGCAAGATCCTGCTCTCAGTGTCTGCTGTAGCACTGCGTTGTCTTCACTTAAACTACTTGCAATCAAATGCACTCCTGCCCCAACAGTAATGTAACATTTTTGCAAAATAAATATTTAATGTCAAAATCAAAAGATCAGTCTGTACTATCCACTTCGTGTAAATATTTATAGAATTGAACATATGACCAAGATGCTGAAATACACAAAGTCACAGACATGCAGCCCGGTGATGTAGTGGAGATATTCATGTAATACGTTGCATTTATCATGCACCTTTGACCACTTCATTCTGCACCCTGGCCACTAATCCATCTCCCTCAGTATTTATTCTAACATTTCAAAGCCAAGTACAGCTGCAAACAGACACCATTTTTATTTTAAAAAGAGAAAATCAACCCACCAAAAAAAAAAAAAAAAGTTTTCTCCTTTCCCCCCAAACCCCAAATTACAGAGGACAGGCAATAATAATTCCTGACCCTGTGGAAGGTTTAAGGTCTGATATCTGACCCTTCAGAAGCTTGCTTTCTTTGGAAAGAAGAGACCCGAGTTTTCCAAAGATACACATAGCACTTGATTATAGTCCTGGGAGTTCTGGAGAAATCTGGTCTTTCAATTACATTACTACATACAGAAAAGCTATTTTCAGTAACTTTTAGTGATTAAGAAAATTTTGGAAGTCTTTCTTTTTTTCTCTGAGCCATGTATGTACATGGGATTTAAGGTAACACAAACATCTGACTTTACTGATACTATTCTTCATATCCCTCAAGCTGTAATTTTTTTTTAAAAAAGCATCTCTTAATAACATGTGCATATACATCATGACACGTTCTGGTGGGATGTAAAGGTTTGTAGCAGCTTGCATTTGAGATGACGGCACAACTCACTCACAGCTTCACCACATATGGGCAACGCAACCCTCCACACTCTTGCTGATAAAACTTGTACACACACCACATGACCAAGGAGGAGTGTGTAGTTATTTTTATACTTTAATTAACAAGAATTACTAATAAGAGAAGATTTCCAACAGCCTAAAATACAGCTGCCAGAGGAAGAATGGAAACAATATCAGTTTAGTTTCACATGCTTTATCTTTCAAATTTAATACAATTTCAGGGGGAAATAATTTTGATTTACCATGTCTTCCCCCCACCCCTCTTTACTATTAACTACTTCTGCTGTCAGTCCTTGGGGGCACACACAGCAGGTTACCATGTAATGTCACACTAGGTGCTGTGATTCAACAAAGGCTAACATGTTGATATCTTTTTATTGCTAGTCAGCCTGGACACCCCATTTCCCCCTATACAATTAGAAGCCTTTGATAATATCTAAAATTCTAAAGAGGATTTATTTCTATTCTAACAAAGAATTTTTTTCACAAAGGGACAGTCCATTGTTTTGTTTTCTAAGATATTGTCTTTTTGCGAAACTCTGTTATTTTACAGACTGCAAAGGGAATCATCTCCTGCATGCTGTTCCTAACACTTTTACATTTCAAAGAATTGTGTGTCGGTATGCAATGGAGCGTTTCTTAATTTAAAAAAAATCTTGAGAAGTATCTTGTTTATTTATACAGTCAGATGTTTCATGGATCTGACATATCTATTAAAACTAAATTCTCTGTAACTGTTACAAACGGGAATATGTGAAAATATTAATACTTGTTAAAACCAAAACCCTCAAAACGAATCAGTGCAGTTCAGTAAGAAAACACGTAGGCAGCTATTGTTTTTCATATAGCAGTATCTGGGTCTGTTGAAGCTTCTTTAATAACACATCGGTTAAGGCTGCAGTATGAAATTACACATTCTATTGTAACTCCTAAATAGGGGGACATCTATCTAGGCCATTCATACAAGAGTTATAACCCTAACAATATTTATACTCAGCATGTCATGTTAGCATTTACTACTAGTTTCCATGGAGATGGATTTTCATGCTGTAGCTATGAAATGCACATTGTTGCCACTAAGCCACTTCAGGCCCTTTCTGGAAGCCTGCTGAATGCCTGACAAAAGTTGATGCAAACCAATAGTTGTTGTTCTTTGTTTGTTGCCAGACTTCTAGCAGAGCCATATTATGTCCTAGTGATTGAAGTGCCCATGTTCACCCCCCTCCCGACACAAAAAGGACCCTAAATTTTAGTGACAAGCATGAAGTGGGCTTTTGCAGGGGAGGCCAAACAGCTAAGCGGGGCAGGAGCTCTGCCTGGCAGAAGGGCATCGCGGTTGGAGCGGGCTGGTTTTCATACAAAGCCCGACATTTGGGGAATAAAAGTATCAATAAAGTCAAGTCTCTCGGGAGGCGGGAGTGGGTGCAGGGAGGCGTCTCTAGAGCCTCTGGCCCCGGCTGGGGCGGCCGGGACTGGCTCCGAGGGGCCGAGTCCCCCTGCGCCCTGTCCGCAGCACATCGGGGGCTCGGCGACGGCCTTTGCGGGAGGCTGGCAGGACCGCCCGGCGGGCAGGGCCCATACGCAGCGGGGCGAGCGAGCGCCCAGACAGCGGCAGTGACCCGAGCCCGGCCCAGCTGCGCCCGGGTCTGTCCCCGGGGCCCGGGGGCTCGGGCTGAGCCGCCGCACCGGGCGCTATGAAGGGTCGGCCTGGGGCCTAGCGCTGTCCCCGGGGGCCGGGGGACCCTGCAGCCCGCCCGCCCGCTCCGTGGCCCGGCCCAGAGGGGCGAAGCCGGCCGGCAGGCGGGAGCCAGGCCTACCGAGCCCGGGCAGGAGTCGGGTCGAGCTGGGGGCTGTGAACACCGGCCCGTCCGCTGCCCCGGCCCGCTGCTCATTCCCGCGCTAGCGGGGACCGGCCCGCGGGCCGCGCTGCCCCGGGCGGAGCGCAGCAGGTGGGAGCTTGGCAGGAACCTGCCCTCGGGCAGGGGCCGCTGCCTGCGGGTCTGTGTGTTTGAGCCGATCCGCCGCTGCGGTCCCTCGGGGGGGTTGTGCTGGGCGGCCGAGGGCACCGGGGCGATTCCCCCGGTAACGTCCAGGGAGGCAGGGCTGGAGACCAGCCACTTTCTGTCCCTTTAGCCAGGTGAGCAAACACGCTTGGGTCTCTCTGCACCGACGGGCTCGCTCGGCAGCCCCCTGCACTCAGCGCCGGCTCTGCCCGTGCAGCCTTCCCCGGAGTTTGCTTGTTTTTCTCTAATGACAACACGGGGCTGCTGATACTTCGCACGGTTTCTTAGGAACGATTTTTCGTTATCTCGCAACAAAAGGCCAGTTAAAAATCCAACTAACACTTCACCCAACAGCCCGATTACTCGGGTTTAATTCCTGTGTTAAAAATCCAACCACAAATCCCGTTTGTTAAACGCCTCCCCGAGATGACACCGCTCCCAGAGCAAGCCCCGTGCCCCGGGCTCTCCCGGGCGTTTTGCACCTTCCCAACTTTAGCGGCCCGCGGTCTGATTTATTTCGAGTTTTGTTAATAACGTTTGGAACAAACTGATTTTAGAACCAAGATTAAATTCTTCCAAATACCCAAAACTGCCGTGCGGGAAATGTTTTACTGAAAGGGCATTTCTGTTTTTAAATCCTAGAATTATTTACCCGCGGCGCATTTCAATAAAAACGCTACGAATTACCGGCACAAATTTCAAACGATTTGAGCTCGAATTTAGCTGGGGCGCTAGCTAAATAACCCCCTTGTCACTCGGACACCAACCGAGGTGTTATTTAACATTTATAAAACCACCCGATTCAAACTCCCTTTGCTAAATGGCAGCGGAGTATTTAACTTCTTATCCGTGGCTAGTAACCCGCATTTCTAGCGTGGCCATTTGAACCCGTAACGAATCGCTCTGGGGTCCGGGCGCGCGGTCCGTGGCGGGGCGCTCTCGGATCACCGCACCATTAGGGGCTTTTTCTGGTTTTCGTTTGAAAACTTTTTGGCGTTTCCCAACAAGGCGGCAGAGCTCGGTGAGAGGCTCCCGGGGACCCTGGGCAGCCTGTTCCGTCCCCTCTGCCCAGTGCAAGGCCCGGCAGGCGCGTATGGCCCGGCGAGCACGGGGCCCGGGCGCCCGGGGGGCAGGCGTGCGGGGCAAGGGAGAAGGGTGCCTTACTGTTGGTAGTCCTGTTTGCAGTACAGTTTTCGATCCCGGAAGTAGCAGCTGGTGGTGAGGGCTTGTTGACACACTGCACACTGCAAACACTCTTCGTGCCAGGAAGATTCGTTCACTCTCATCAGAAAACGGTCTGAGATCGGCCGCTGGCAGCCCTCGCAAACCGCCTGGTTCTGACACTCTGACCCTAGGAAACAGCAAAGAGGGATGTGAGCGGCATGCGGAGATGGCCCCCGAAACGCCCCAGCACGGGCTCTGCCAAGCGGGGCGCTGCCGCAGCTCGGCCCGGGGGTCCGGGATCCCCCCTTCCCCAGGACCGGCTCCCATGAAACAGCAGCGCGAAGCGAACTTCAATCGACGCGATTTCGTTTGCGCCGGGCAGGCTCGGCTCGCGGCCCCGCTTCCCTGCTCGCGACTCGCTTCTCCACCCAAACCCGCCCCGGGAAGTTGCAAACACATTACGCGGGGTCACCGCACAGCCCGCAAAGTGCGTGCGGCGAGTCGCAGCCCGCCCGGGCCGCCCCGCAACGCCCCGGCAATCCGCGCTCGGCTCCGCATTCGCTTTGAAGCAATAGTTTGTTTTCGGTCATTTAAAAACCAGCCTCCCGCCAAAGCCACGAGTGAAGCCCCGCGCCCGCCCGTGCGGGGGGAGAGGCTGTTCCCCAGCGCCCCGCAGCTGCGCCCCGCAGCCCGGCCCCGGGCACAGCCCGACTCACCCAGCAGCACGCCCAGGGTGGCAGCGCCCGAGCGCAGCGGGTGATCTTCCATTTTGATGCCGTCCAGCATCTCGGCGCGGTCCGGCGGGCCCCGGCCGAAGCAGCGGTCCAGGGACTCGGGGCCGGCGGCGACATCCATGGGCGGCCCGGGCGGGCGTCAGGCGGCCGGGGCGGGCCGGGCTGCGGGACCCGCTGCAGCGGGGAGGCGGGAGCTGAGCGGGGGGACACGCGGCGCGTTCCCGGGCGCAGACGCGGGGCAGGGGCCGGAGCGGAGGCTGCTGCCCATCGGGTCAGGTCCTGCTCCAGCCGGCGGCCGGGGGTCACCTGCCGGCGGGCCGGGGCCGGGGCCGGGGCGGGGCCCTCCCCGGGGCAGGGGCCGGCGGGCGCCGCGGGAGATCCAGGGCAGAGGCGGCCGGGCTCCCCGGGCGCTCCCCAGTCACTGTGCCCAGCCGCGTCCCGAGGAGCCGCTCCGTTTAGAGCGGGGCTGCGGCGGAGGAACACACCCACCCGTGCAGCCGCCTCACCCCTCCTCAAACTTGCTGACATTTGAACTCCATTGGCGCTCCTGGTATCGCTGCGCCGCGGTGATCCGTCTCCTCGACGTCAAATAGTGCCGTCGCGGAGCGAGCCCCCGCAGCCCCCCGCGGGCGCCCAGGTGCGCGGGCTCGGGGTGGCCAGGGCCGGGGCCGCGTCACTCCGGGACTGCGCTCTCGGGAGCGCCCCGGCCGGGGCTAGTGGCCCTGCGACTTCCCACCCCCCCGGGGGCAGAGTGACCAGAGCTGCCTGGAGCGTCCCACTCGAGTTAGCGCCCCGCGCGGGCAGCGCGCCCCGGGCTCTCCCGCCTGTCCTGGGGTATGTAGCTGCGCCTCGCGGCTTGGGACTGGGCTTGGGTTTGCCCCACGGCCAGCCCGAGCGCGCGTGTCCCAGAGGCACCGGCTGCAGGAGCCTCTCCCCCCACGCGTGTCCGGGACCCCGGGCCTGCCTCAGCCCTCCGCAGCCCGGCCAGGGGCCCACGCCCCCGGCTCTCCCCCGGGGCTGGCACCCGTGTGGGGAGCAGCTGTGCCGGGGGGGACGCTGGCTGGGGAGGTGTTAACAGCGGGGCCTGCCCCCAACAGAGCCGCGGCGGGCTGGCGCTGGCTGCTCCTTGCCGGACACAGGCGCCCCTGCCCTGTCCTGGCACCTGAGCCGCGGTCCCTTGGCGGCGGGCCCGGCCGAGAGGCGCTGGCAGAGAGCCGCACCTCCCCGCGGACCCTGCCGGAGCGCAGCACGGACGGCCGCCCGCTAAGGAGCCCTGGCTGTGCGCCGGGGAGCGGTGGCTGTGCGGCTGGCTGCGGGCAGAGCCGGGCTGGGGGCCTGGCAGGAGACACAGACACAGCTCCCGCGGGGCTCTCCCCGCGCCACAGTCGGAGGCCGGGCTGACCCCGATCGACCCCAGAGCCCCGTGCCCGGGAACCTGCGTCCCCCGGCCCGGGCTGCCAGCTGAAATGCCAGCAGATCCCGCACGGCCTGGCCTGCGCGGCGAGCCGGGCTCCTGCCCGCCTGGGCCGCCTTTGGAGAGGAACCCGAGCGCATCCCTCTGCAGCCGACGCAGCGCTGGGCTGGGTTGCTGGGGACCAGGGCTCTGCGCCCCTCCCGTGGCCTTAGCCCAGCCGGCACCGGCTGGGGCTCGGCCCTGCGCTGCCTGGCTTCAGAGGGATTCAGGGTCCCGGGCTAATGCAGCTGGAGAGCCGCAGCTGCCGGAGCAGGAGGCCCGAGGGCCTGGCGACGGGCCGCAGGCGGAGCTAGTCACCTCGGGGCCGGGGAGCTGCGGGGTGCCCTGCGCGTTCGTGGGGAGCGGAGTCACTAGGGCAGGGGAGAGGCGTTAGTTCCCTGCGGCCCTTCCCCGCCTCGATCGCCGGGGAGCCCGGCCCGCGGGCTGCGGCGCGGCGAATCCAGGGGCCGATTCGGGCGCGTTTACACCTTCCCCGCGAGCCGTGCTTGGCGCGGCCGGCGGATATTTTCGGGTCTTTATTTCCGCACGTTGGGAATGGCCGAGCGCGGCCACACGGCCCCGCAGTGCCGGCTCCCCGGGGCAGCGTCGGAACCAGGGAGCGCGGCCCGTGCTGCGCCGGGCTCGCCTGGACACCGGGCTGCTCTGAATCACGGGCGTGTGGCCACTGTTTGAACGGGAAACGCGCAAACAATACAAGACAAAATAATGCTGCGGCGTCGTGCGGGTGTCAGGGTCGGCTGCCGCCCCAGCCCCCCTTGCTTTGCGCGGCAAGCGACCCCCTCCCGTCCCCGGGGCGAGCCGGGCCCGGCGGCGACAATTCGATGGGTTTGTTCCCGTGCTGGGGGTTGCGGTGGCGGCGAGGGAAGGGCCCGAGCGCTGGTCTGTCGGGTTCCCAACACGCCGGTATTTAGTGAGCAGGACAAGTGCTAAGGGCCGCCACTGGCTGCTCCGTTTGGGCCTCTGCAGGCAAAGCCCTTCGCACGCCGGTTTCGCGCCGGAATGCACGATTATGGTTTAGCTCAGTCTTTCGGGAAGGGGTTTGGGCTCGTTGGGTTTTGGCTTGGACAATTTAACGCTGGAACCCGCTGCAGCTAATCCTGGGTTATTTAACTCTGGAAGCTGCTTGGATTTCAGAGCTCCGCCGCGCAGAAAGAGCTATTCGTTGGCATTAATTGTTTACGGTTCCCATCCTGCCGGGGGCTGCTCGCCCGACTCCAGCCACAATTATCTCCTACAATGGCGAGGAAAACTAAAGCCGGTCTCGCCTCACTCCAAGAGTTTCCCTAACTTCGAATTAAAACTCCGCAACTGGGCGGCGGGAGAGGTCAGAGGGAAAGGGGAACCTCCCCGGTCCGGCTCGCAGCCGTCCAGTTAATTCCGGCTCTGGTCGGGGTCACTTTTCCGACAGAAATCAGACCAAATTCTGTAATTGTTACCGTCTCCCCGCGTGTGACTATTACACAGGCCGTGTTCTGCCCGGCCGGCCGCCTGGATTCGAAGGCGGTTCATTCAAAGTCTGTAACTAAAATCAAACCATTAAAACACAAAAATCCATCATCGAATTAAAACCAAAGGAAGCCTGGCCCAAGCCGCTGTGTGTGCGCCCCGGCGCTGTGTGTAGGGACCGGGCAGGGCTCGCCGCTCTGCTGGGAGTTGGGCGAGAAACACACAATTCGGAGCATCTTTCCCGAGGCCGCTAAGACAAGAACGAGTGAGACCGGTCTGGGCCCGTGTTACCGACCCGGGCCCGTGTTACCGACCCGGGCCCGTGTTACCGACCCGGGCTGTGCCGCAGGAGCCTTCGTGGCGAGTGAAACTTGTGCATATGTGGGTGCGCCATGAGCCTGCTGCACGCGTGTGTCTGTGTGGTGTGTGGGTGCGCCATTAGCCTCTTACATCTCTGTGTGTGTTGTGTATACGCCATGAGCCTCCTACTATGTGGGTTTGTGTGGGTGCGCCATTAGCTTCCTGCTCTCTCTCTCTCTCTGTGTGTGCATTAGCTTCCTGCTCTGTGTGTGTGTGTGTGTACACATTAGCTTCCTGCTCTCTCTCTCTCTGTGTACATTAGCTTCCTCCTCTCTGTGTTTGTGCCATTAGTTTCTTGCTTTGGGTCTACTATGAGCTTCCTGCTGTGTGTGTGTGTGCCATTAGTCTCTGCTGTGTGTGTGTGTGTGTGTGTATTAGTCTCTGGTGTGTGTGTGTGTGTGTGTGTTATTAGTCTCTGCTCTGTGTGTGTGTTATTAGCCTCCGCTCTGGTTGTTGCCTTTGTAGTTGTCTAACCCTCTGGGCCCCGGTGTGGGCTGACTTGTGTGCACTCTGCCCTCTCCTGGCCGGCTGCAGGATAGGCCTGGCTGGGGAGCCTTTACCTGGTTCTGGGGCCGGGCTCATTGTTATCTGGGGTGACTCCGCATTTCCACTCGGAGTCTGGCGGGCGGGGTGGGCAGCCACGGGCTGATTGAACCGGCTGTCGTTAGATGCTGCTGCGGCGCTGCAGGTCCTTCCGGCCTTTCCAAGGCAGAGGCAAGTGCCGAAGGGAGCAGGGACCGAGCATGCCAGGGCACTAACTGCAGCATTAGCAATGCCACGGCTCCGTCCTGAACTGAGCAGAACCAGGGGCTCCGCTGGGCCGAGCTCCTCCCGCCTCCGCCCCCCAGGGCCTGGGGCCGGGCAGCGCACGTCGGCGCTGTCCGGCTCCATCGGACCCGTCGAGTTACTTTAACTTTTCGTCCTATTTCATTTCCCTGTCCAATAGCTTCCTTTAGTGCTCCTTGCTGTCCCCTGGCCGAGTCCGCTGCTCGCGCAGCCCGACCCGATACGGATTGCACGGGGCCGTGTCAGCTCCGTGTCTGGGTCCTGGACCCACCCCAGCTCCCCCCTTTGCTCGGCGTCCACACCCATTGTCTGCGCTGGAGAAAGGAAGATACAGAGTTTGGGCTCCCACTTTCTCCCTGCAGACGCTTCAGTAATTCACACGGAACAGTGACAGGGAACCGGGAGCGGCGCTGCCTGGGAAAACCCTCACACAAAGCGAACTGCCGGAGCTCTGGCGGCCAGCCGCCTACGTGTAAACGCGGTAAGACTCCGTCTAGCACTCCGCCAGACACGTCGGAAATCCGTCCCGCCAGTGCCCGGGACCCGACCGACGGGGCTGTCCCTCCCTGTTGAGTTATGAAACCTTCAAGAAAAGGGGATTTTTGTGGAAACCGAGAAAGCCTCTGACCCGGCACCAGACCAGGTGTTGCTACGGCTCCCCCGGGCTTTCTGACGGGGGCCTCTGACCCAAACCTCTGTGTCCGCCCCTGCTCCGCTCTGCACCCTGCACCCTGCGGAGCATTTCTCCTGGGCGGCCACCCGGCCCGGTGCAAGCGGACAAGTCCCATTAGAGACCAGAGACAAGCTCCCTTCACTCCCCAGACGTGAGTCGGACCCTCCCCCAGCTCCTGTTAACAATGGCGCTGGAGGGTATTTCCATTCCCTTTTCACTGGACATTGCTCCAAACTTCCCCGGCGCTCTAAAGCCCAGCAGCGCCTCGACAGCCCCAATCCCGCGATCTTCTCCCAGGCTGCAACCTTCCTTCCAGCTCCCTTTCGTGCACCTCGCTGTGACTAATTCTCACCGCCCGGCCCTCCGACACTGCCCCTACCCA